AAACTGTGATATGAGTCACAGTTTGAAAGCAGACAAATTTTATTAAATCCAAGGAGTTCAATTTTGAGTTACACCAATGCATTTATTATACATATATATGTAGGGGTGTGTATATATATATATATATATATATATATATTTAATGAAGCAAAAATAATATATTTTCCATCCCTACAGCCAATTCTACAAAAATGAATTTCTTGTTGCCATTAGTTGGACCAGAAAGATCACTGTCATGGTGTCATACAAATTCAATGTATGTCTCTTACCACTAGTAATTAAACTAATAGTAATATATTTTTACAGTTAGATAAGGGTTTTCCTTTGGATTATATGTGATTATCCATAAATTCAGTTTTACCATAAAGTATAAATGTTCAAATTCCTAACAATTAACGATCCAAATTATTCCACATGTATTTGAATAAATTTGTTTACTTTGAATTTCATGTCATGTTCACTGTGAAACCTTTTGACTTACCATAACCAGGGTTATTCTTCCCCAACACTATATATATATGTGTGTGTGTGTGTGTGCATGTGCTTCACTAGACTGCTCTCCACTTGCTAATAATCTTGTCTGTCGCTTTGAAAAGCTTTGATCTCACCTTCTCTTGTGAAGAAACAGAGTACTCTGTTCTCTTACTCTGTTTCAGAACATAGCTTATAGATCGAGTCTCCATTTTTTGCTACACAAACAATGGAAAATGAAGAGGCCAAGAAGCAAAATAAAGGAAAAGCAAGACTTCCTCCACGGAGAGATCAGATCAAAGCTAAGATATTTGCTAAGATGGTGAAGAAAGTGAGGATGGCAATTACCGGTAGCTGGACTAGGAAGAGAGAGAAAAGGTGGTGGAGGAAGCTCGGTCTCGGCAACACTCCTCCAACCTCAGATGGAAATGCAGATCTTTAACGCCACATGAAAGCTGATGCTGTTATGTATCTCTGAATTCACTTGACTAAGCTTTCTAATGTTTCTGTGCCAAAGCTTACTTTTCCATGGTGTGCAACAGCTTAGTTGCATTTGTGCCACATCTCATTTGTGATATTGTGGTGGGATTATGTAATATTTTGAATTTGGGTACTAAGCTACTAGTTATTTTTGAATATATATACAATATCATTTGTTTAGTTTCTTCAATTATTAGGGTTTTTTTCTTCTTCTTCTTTGAAAGATCTATATTATGGTTTGGTTGGAATCGTTAACTGTTTGGTTTTTTTTTACTTTTATTTATTTATTTATTTATTTTTGCATAATGCTATATTGACAATATTATTTCTAAGACGAACCAGAGAACATCTCTGGGTTCCTGAATGTAGTTGCAGGTTGTGCTTGTGGATTTCCTAATGGAAGTTGTTCTCAAGGGGCGAGTTTCCTTTATGTTCTCTCTCTCTCTCTCTCATTTATTTTCTTCAATCCCTCTGATTAACTTTTTGCAAATTACAAAATCAATGAACTGATGTAAATTGAAAATTTTCCAATTTCAAAGGGTGAAAATGTCTGTTAAGAACTTTCTGATAACAATGAATTCTATACTATTGTTTTTATGATTCTGTTTCTCTGCTCCTTAAACAAGCATTTGCTAATGGATGTCTGAATGAAATTTGTTTTTGTTTTTACACTTTTCCCTTCTTTTGACTCAACTTGTCTAAGAATCATCCCCATGAGGTATAATGCATGCTACTAATGGAGTGATCACCATTACTGAGTTTCTTTTTGAATAAAGTATTATGCAGTAACCGCGTTGCTTTTGTTAAAAAATAGGTATTGTTATATATATATATATATACGGTTCCGGTTCTTACCGGTTCCCACGGACTGAAACCGGAATCAGAACCGTACAACCACAGTTCTTAAATTTAGAATCGAGACCTGAATCGAAACTGGAACCGGACGGTTCCGGTTCTCACAATTCCGGTTTCGGTTCTTTTGTGCACTCTAGTTTTTGGCATGTGTTTATGTTGTATTTGTCTAAATAGAGTTAGTTGAGTACACGAGAACCGGTTTTGGACGGGTGTCATTCTTAGGGGTGGTCACGTCAGCAGGGAGGATGAACTTCATCTTCCCTACGCAGGATGCAAGCATTACTCGAAAGAGAAATAATAAGGTAAACACGATCGTGCTTGCGTCCATGCCTTAACATCACCTCTGGAGGATTCCCGACGAGGCTTTTCTGATTTGCAAGTAAAAAGTAAACCTTTTATAATAATTCTCACTTGCGGGTGGAGAGAACAGCTTGCTCACACTTACGGGTGAAGAGCGAACTTTTTGCAAGCTCTTCCTTGTCTTGCTAAGTGGACACCGTCACCTAGGCTTCTTGGGAACTTTGGCCATGATTGTTGATATACAAGTTTGGGTAGAAAACACGTACAAGTGTGAAGCTCACAATCCTGCTCACAATCCTTAGAATAATAAATGAAGCGAGTAAGCCCAACGTCTAGAATGATTTAGTGCAAAAACCACCGTTTGTGTAAAAATAATTTTTATTTTTTTAAAATATGCATTTCAATTCGTAAGATTCAAAAAAGGCTCAAACAAACCATCCCTTTTTTTTTTTTTTTTTGTCCAAATTAACATAAAATAAATTTTAAAATCTTATTTTGTCCTTCTTTTTTCTTTTTTTTTTTTTTTTTCCTATTCTACCCTCCTACGCTCCACCACCACCACCATCCCCAATCCCGTCGGAGAGAATGGAGGTTTTGCAGCCTGTGGATTGGATAGAAGCAATTTGTTAAGGGTTTGGATCTGAGGAAGGGGCTAACCCATCTTTTTTTTTATTTTTTTTATTTCTCATCTCTCCCAAAGATAGGATCATGTGCCTCCTCTCAAAAACAATGAGGAAATCACTCAATTGTCTCTTTCAGCCATTTCTTTCGTCCCAAGTAGTGTAAACAAAAGAGGAAATACTCCTCTGCCAAAAGTTCCATGACAGCTCTATCAGCTACGGAACAACTATCATACCCAAATAACAGTCCCTTCGAGCACCGACCACCATCGCCGGACTGAACTACTCTGCCCACTCGCCGTCACGCGCGCAGGCGCCCCTTCTTCTCCGGCGATTTTTTTTTTTTTCTTTTTCTGATGAATCTCTACCTTCTCATATTCTTTTTATGGGAACCAACATCATCTTTTCATTATTTAAAGCTGAAATTGATAGTTGTTCACATTTTTGTCCTGTGGATTTCCCATCTCTTCACAATTTTTGTGGAACTGAAAAGCTTCATATTGCCCTAATTTCTAACAAGATTCAAACTTGCCCTCAAATTGTCCTTCAAATCCCTAGAATTATTCTAACTCAATGGGCCAACAACAATTCAAAGACGAATTGCTGTATCAAAAAGTTAATTATGACAACACACAATGGATCAAATCTCCGTCCTCACTATATCTTTCATCATCTCCATAGTCCATATACATATTCATAGATACGCACATATCCACCACGACCTACAAAGGGCAAAAAAAAAAAAAAAAAAAAAAAAAAAAAAAAAAAAAAGAATAAATTCTAAAATGGTAATTTTATATTGCCTAATTTTTTTTTTTTTAATTTTATATAATTTCATTTATATTAGAGAGAGTATTAATGTCTTTTTATGCTACACATGGATCGTTTTGCATTATATCGACAATAGGAGGAGGTCTTTTTGCACTTAACCCTTTCACAAATACAGAATGTTTAAGTGGTAGATCAATGTTTTGAATGTTCATTGGAACATGTATTTATATCATGTATAAGATATATGGCCGTTTGAACATTTCTTTGTTTGTTTCGACATAAAATATTTTATTTTATTTTTATTTTTCGGTATTCGACAAAGGTTTATTTATTATACATGATATAAATACATGTTCCAAGAAAAAATATTGGGTGAGACGTGTAAAATAATTGTCGAAAATTGATAAATAAATTATTTTTGTTGGATTTTAATATATTTTTTTCTCGATAAATATTTTACGACAATCAAACACTAGGAAAAAATATTTTACGTTCGAACAAACGGAGAACGGAGCCCAAGGTAGGTGATGGTCGGATCTGTCAAATTTGAAGTTTTTTAAACTTGTAGCCGGTTCTAATAGAAGTTTTAGTGATCCACTTTTTCTGCAAAATGTTTTAGAAGGTCTACTTGGGCACAACTTATGATTCAGGAAAATGCAGTCTTATGGATTCCGAGTATTAGGCAGCTCCAATAGAAGTTTTTCTCCAACATGTTTCAGAAGGCTACTTGATGTAGAACGGATTGTTGCGGAGTATGGGGACCGTTTGGACTGTCAGAAGGCCAAACAGGTGACACATTTGTTGGGGCCGTGCCGAAGATTCCGTTTTCAACTGGAAACATGCCAACGAGCAATATTCACTTTCATGTCACGATGTATACCATTTTTGGCCAAATTCCCTCATCATATACAACTCCACTTTTTCAATTGGATCTGAGTCTCCGTTTTGCTTCTTATGTAGAGAGGGGGCACTGAAATCGTTCCTATTGGGTCGTGCGTGGCGGCTGGTATAGATGAACAAGGGTGGGCGCCAAAAAGGGCCCTCAAAACTATGTTTTTCAGTCTTATAAGAAAGACTTGAAATTATTTCAGGATTTTTGTTCGTCCCCTAAATGGACTTGGAATGCACTGAAATATTATTTTTATTAGTTTTTAGTGATTAGGTTATTTATTTATTTATTTCATAGTTTTTGAAGAATGCTGATTTTAAGCATGTTAGTTTCTTGCAGAATTATTCATTCAATTATTAACACAATATTAGATTTCTCTGTAAAAAAATTTTCAATTTTGTGGATTCAAAGTTTTCACTAATTCTTTGTGGAACTTTTCATAGCGCTTCTGTTTTGTTTCGTCATTTCTACTTCATTTGTGCTCATATTAACTTAAAAGGTACTAAAGTTGAATTCAAAATTACCGTCATTTCTACTTCATTTGTTGCTCACTTTCTGTTTTGTTTCGTCATTTCTACTTCATTGTGTTGAACAACCGCACCATATCGACGACTAAAATTTAAACCATTTCATGATGTAACAAATTAAAGCAAAGAAGCCAACTCATTGATCACAAATCTGCAATAAAAAAAAAATGACAAGCCAACTCCTGGATCAGGTTTACGTACAGGATCTCCACACTAAAGTATTGCTAGTAGTAAATTTCAACCATTCAAAACAAGGAGAGATACTTAAAAGTAGTAACACTATTGATTTAGCTATCACAATCCATTTGTACCGAATATGAAATACTAGTCTGTGGAAAGTCTGCGTGTATAGAGAGAGAGAGGAGGCATCATCAAACTTGGCGTAAGAGCAATTCTTTCCATACTTCAGTGTGTAGCTTTGTGGATACGACATCTGCCCAGAAAAATACCCATAATGTTCAAAAGAAACAAAAAATGAAAAAGAGAAAAGATTAAAAAAAAAAAAAAATGCACATACCTCTTTCCCGTGTTCCTGAGAATCCGTGTTAAACTTAAAGCTTGACTGTCCGGGCGCATTTTCTGTATCTCCAATCCAAAAAATAATACGCAAACAACTTGAATTGTCAATTTTGCAGTCCCATTTTTTCATCACTGTTGGAGGCATATTAAATTCTACTTCCTCCAACACAGGCCACATGACGCGCATGTCCCAACACTTCTTCATCAATTTGTAGCATCCATTGGCATTCCGAAAGAGGGGATCGTTTTTAACAAAAAAAAAAAACCCAGAAATTTCTGATTCAAATCAACCAATACCATAAGAAAATAATTCTAAGGATAAAAAAAAAAAAAAAGAGAGAAAAAAAAAAAAAGAAAAGAAAAGAAAAAGAAAAATGAGATCACCAATTACCCACTTCAACTTTTTGAGCGAGTTACACTGTGGAAGTCTCTCGGTCATTGTCTCCCAAAAAAGGGAGAGACAACGACCCCAACCACTTTTATATGCAATAGCCGCCAACAAAAATTTCTTACGTTTGACTGCACCAAAGCCTACTAAGCCTCTTAACTCTAGAAGTCTTTTCGAACACCTTCTACAAGTCCTATTTTGTCAAAAGATTCAACAAAGTGGTAATGTCAGCATGAAATTTAGACAAATCTCATAACAGCATTTTTGTATTTAAAAGTGCAGACATAATATAACGTACCCAGCTCAAATTCACCAGGCCAGAATAGTTTGACCATCTTGTTTTCCATCACCGTAACACCATGGAACAAATTTCCATGAAAGTTATCATTTTGAATGAAATCGTCTAATCCTTTTATAATTCCCTTGAACACACCCAAAAAGTCTCTTTCTGGACGAATCATGATGCCACTGTCAATATGCCAGAGAGCCACGGTTCATTATCCCAAACCCAACGAATAAAACCTGCTCCTAAGCGATCCAAGACTAGTGTTGTTACCCCTCTTCGAATTTATGACATTGATCTTTGCAATATTCGGATTGTCGTGGCAACTTATTTTTTTCACTACTTTTTTGGCTGTCAGCTTATCATGTTCTACGTAGCTAGTAACTGATATCTTCACAGGTTCTCCTATGTGAGTAAAATTGCTAATTCCATTTTCATAACTCATAACCCTCCCACTACGCACTTCTACTGCCCTGCAGCAAAAGACAATACAAAACATAGACGGTAAATTTTAGCACTTTCCAGCAACGAATCAGCAACCAAGCATGGGAATTACCTTGGCATTTTTGTATCAACTTGATTCCTGCACCAAAGGTAAAAACGTATCAATCTAACAGTACCTGAGGTTTAATTAGCTACTAAGAAGTTCCAATTTTAATTTTGTAAGTACAAAAACAGTGAAGGGATAATACATTATCAGTGTACAAAAGAAATCGGTCTCTATAAGACGCATATGAAAGAGAAGAAACTTCAAAGTTAACACATACATAATTATATCCCATCACCCACTTACACATACCCTACTAATATCGGTGATGATGATGTCATCGACATAAACTAACGCAACGGTTACAGCTTTTTGTAGAAGTAAATAAAGTGTAATCATAGTGTGATTGCTTGAATTCTACATGATAGAGAGATAATTCTCTTTCCCATTCCAATTTCAAATCCCAAAAGGATTTGGTTCCAAACAAAGCATTAGTGGGAGTTTAAAAGGATAGGGCATGTGGGGATTTGAATATGGTTAGGGATGGGGTGGGTTTGTCTAAACGGTTTTGGGCATGGACGGGGCGGGAAAACTTAAAGGGGAAGGGCACATGGAGGGTTCCCCGCCCAAACCCGCCCTTCTTGTCATCCTTAGGGATGCTCACTTAAAAGAAGTTACCTTCCATAGCTAAAATCTCTAATCTTAAACTACTACTACCAATATCACTGGGAATTTCACCGGATAACAGGTTATAATAAACATCCAATTCACCTAGATTTTTCAAAGCATTAGTGGGAGTTTAAAAGGGTAGGGCATGTGGGGATTTGAATATGGTTAGGGATGGGGTGGGTTTGTCTTAACGGTTTTGGGCATGGACGGGGCAGGAAAACTTTAAGGGGAAGGGGACATGGAGGGTTCCCTGCCCAAACCCGCCCTTCTTGTCATCCCTAGGGATGCTCACTTATAAGAAATTACCTTCCATAGCTAAAATCTCTAATCTTAAACTACTAGTACCAATATCACTGGGAATTTCACCAGATAACAGGTTATAATAAACATCCAATTCACCTAGATTTTTCAAAATTTTAACTTCTATAGGAATGGAAGTGAAAATGTTTCGAGACAGATCTCAATAGGTTAATAAAGTCCTAAGATCGAAAACTTGAGGGGTTAGGGTACCACTGAGATTTATGAACTTTGAGATTGAACTATCATTAATAAGTATAGTGTCAGTGATTAGATGAAGACAGACTACCTAAATTCATGAAGAGAAATACTGCCTTTATGGACATGTAGTTGAATTCCAGTGCTCTCATACAAATTTTTCCGCTTCTATATAGGAGAGGTCTATCTATCTTTTGTTACATATTTTATTGTTGTCATGAATAATGTTTTTGTCCAGTTCAGCTATATGATCACAGAGTATATGAGAGCCTTTTTCTTAGACATTATGGAATGGTGGAAATGTATTCTTGCTTGCCTTGGCGCTTGTTACGAGAAATTGGCGGGATGTTGCCAATTACTGTATGAAGTTGTTCTTGTGTACGACTTAATGTTCCGGTTTCCGTAAAAGGCCAACTTCTAGAGGGATTTCCTTTGAGAAAGGAATAGATTTCCAATGTGTGACATTATGGACCCAAACAACTACTGGGAGTTTAGGTCTTACATGGTGATGCTTCTGTGTCCGTGAACACAACACGATGTCATTGACAAAAGGGAATGGACCCATTCTATGAACTCAAAAACAAAACAAAAAAATAGCATATTCACTCTATATTTTTACATTCATATATATATATTTATATATATAATCGTTTGTCATCTGAAAACCAACTGTCCTAGTCCTACAGTACATTCAATGTGCACATGAAATCCTTTTCACAGTGGATGGTGCCTAACAAATGAATTGAGTAGAGTCAAAACATGTTTAATCTATTCAGGCTTGGCTCATTTGTTTGTGGACTCAACATAAACTCGGCTTGACATCATTGACGAATTCAAAAGGCTGAACTCAAGATCAGCTTGTTATGATTTGTAAAAATCATCCTCGGCTAGTTTCAAGCTCAGTCTCATGTCATGTTCCAAGTTTGGTCCAGCTCGTGTTTTTAAAGTTACCAATCAACATTTTCAATTACTTTACTCTAAAGTTTACTTCCTAACCAAATTATAAAAAAAAAAAAAAAAAAAAAAAAAAAAAAAAAAAAAAATTAATTTTCATATCTCAACCGTATACTCCCCCTTAATTCATAGATGCAAAACTGTTCATTTGCAGCTAACTGATGTGATTGGCCACGTGAACTTTTAAGCTTATTCCTTACTGCCCATAAATTGACTACATACCGTGCATATATCATACAATATGAAAAATCAACACACATTATATCACTATGAAAATCAACACACATTATATCATACACTACGAAAATCACAGCCTTAAAATAAGAACACAAATACTGATATTCAAACACTCCAAATAAAAATCTGGTTCAGAATCAATAAACCAGATCTGATTATCGTTATTGATCTCCAAATAATCAAGGAGTAAGAAAATAAACAAGGAGGACTACAATTTTGATAATTTTGAAAATCTAATCTCACTAGAATTCTGAAATCTAAGTGATTGTGTGTTTCATGAAATCTTGAGTACAGAGAACAAAGTAAAGAAAATAGAAGAAAAGAAAACGAAGTTGACTTACGAAAAGAGAAGCTGCCGATTGTATGTTGAAAGTCCACCACAACCAAACCCAGATAGAGAGAAAGAGATAAATGATCCAACGAACTTTGCTATTCTGTATAGATTGCAGACGAATTGAGACGCATCCCCCACCAAAACCTCTTCTAGAACTTTCTTTCCATTAGGCTAAAAGATTGATTTATTATTTTCTTTCTTGGTTGCTGATTCATGGAAAGTGCTAAAATTTACTATCTATGTTCTGTATTGTCTTTTGCAGTGCAGCAGTGGAAGTGTGTGGTGGGAAGTAGAAGAAACACTAGAAGATTATGAGTGCTATTAAAATTGAATCGGCAATTTTGCCCACATAGGAAAACCTGTGAAGATATCAGTTACTAGCTACGCACAACATGATAAGCTGACAACCGAAAAAGTAGTGGAAAAAATAAGTTGCCACGACAATTCAAATATTGCAAAGATCAAGTACCATAAATTCGAAGATGGGGTAACAACACTAGTCTTGGACCGCTTGAGAGCAGGTTTTATTCGTTGGGTTTGGGATAATGAACCCAATTTGGCATATTGACAGTGGCATCATGATTCGTCCAGAAAAAGACTTTTTGAGTGCATTCAAGGGAATTATAAAAGGATTGGACGATTTCATTCAAAATGATAGCTTTCATGGAAATCTGTTCTTATAGTGATGCAAAACAAAATGGTCAAATTATTCTGGCCTGGTGAATTCGAGCTGACTTCTTTTTATGAGATTCGTCTAAATTTCATGTTAACATTGCCACTTTGTTTAATCTTTTGACAAAATAGGACTTGTAGAAAGTGTTCAAAAAGACCTTCTAGAGTTAAGAGGCTTAGTAGGCTTTACGGCGGGTGCAGTCAAACGTAAGAAATCTTTGTTGGAGGCTATTGCAAATAAAAGGGGTTGGGGTAGTTGTCTCTCCCTTTTTTGGGAGACTATGACCAAGCGACTTCCACAGTGTAACTCGCATGAAAAATTGAAGTGGGTAATTGGTGCTCTCATTTTTCTTTTTCTTTTTCTTTTTTTCTTAAAACTGTTTTCTTCTCCCCTTTGGTTTTGGTTGATTTGAATCATAAATTTCTGGGTTTTTTGTTAAAAACGATCTCCTCTTTCGGGATGCCAATGGATGCTACAAATTGATGAGGAAGTGTTGGGACATGCGTGTTATGTGGCCTGTGTTTGAGGAAGTAGAATTTAATATGCCTCCAACAGTGATGAAAAAATGGGACTGCAAAATTGACAATTAAGTTGTTTGCGTAGTATGGGAATTACCCTTGGCATTTTTGTATCAGCTTGATTCCTGCACCAAAGGTAAAAACGTATCAATCTAAGAAATTCCAATTTAAATTTTGAAAGCACAAAAACAACGAAGGGATAATACATTATCAGTATACAAAAGAAATTAGTCTTTATAAGACGCATATCAAAGTAAACACATACATAATTATATCCCATCACCCACTTACACATGCCCTACTAATATCAGTGATGATGATGTCATCGACATAAACTAACACAACGGTTACGGCTTTTTGTAGAAGTAAATAAAGTGTAATCATAGTGTGATTGCTTGAATTCTACATGATAGAGATCTAATTCCCTTTCCCATTCCAATTTCAAATCCCAAAAGGATTTGGTTCCAAACAAAGCATTAGTGGGAGTTTAAAAGGGTAGGGCAGGTGGGGTTTTTCTTAACGGTTTTGGGAATGGACGGGGCGGGAAAACTTAAAGGGGAAGGGGACATGGAGGGGTTCCCCGCCCAAACCTGCCCTTCTTGTCATCCCTAGGGATGCTCACTTGAAAGAAGTTACATTCCATAGCTAAAATCTCTAATATTAAACTAGTACTACCAATATTGCTGGGAATTTCACCAGATAACAGGTTATAATAAACATCCAATTCACCTAGATTTTTCCAAATTTTAACTTCTATAGGAATAAAAGTGAAAATGTTTCGAGACAGATCTCAATAGGTTGATAAAGACCTAAGATCTGAAGCTTGAGGGGTTAGGGTACCAGTGAGATTTATGAACTTTGAGATTGAACTATCATTAATAAGTATAGTGTCAGTGATTAGATGAAGACAAACTACCTAAATTCATGAAGAGAAATGTTGTCTTTATGGACATGTAGTTGAATTCCAGTACTCTCATACAAATTTTTCCACTTCTATATAGGAGAGTTCTAACTACCTTTTGTTACATATTTTAATGCTGTCATGAATAATGTTTTTGTCCAGTTTCTCAATTTTAGTTAACTAACAATGTTTGTTTAGACAATTGACTGATTAGGCATAGAAAATCCTATTTGGGTAGTTAATAAAAAAATTACCAATTTATTTCTGAACAATTCACCACTCAGTACCCTATCTGTTCTTTTGACCAATTTACTAATCCTATTTTAGAATCCACTAGTGGAAGCAGAGTGTGAGGTAGCTCATGGCAAGCCCCTTCCAACACTACGGAATTCACTCAAAAGCATGCTTTTTGTAATAAGTATTTTAATTTTCAAGAAGTAACTTTAGAGCTTTACCCTATATTAAGTACTTTTGCTTGTCAAAGTTCTTGTTATGATTTTTTTTTTTTTTTAGTTCTGAAAAGATTTCCATTTTCAAAAAGCTTGGCATGTTGATAAAAATTTAAATTTAATTGAAAAAAAAACCAGAAAATTTATATATATATATATATATATATACATATATATATTTGTGTTGGTGAAATAAAATGTAGATTACGGTGATTACCTCAAAATGCAATGCAAATTTTGTTACGTAAAAAAAAAAAATTATATAAAAAAGATCATAAAAAAATTCACCAAATAGGATTTAGTTTGCAAAACAAGAATTACAGACCTGATTTGTTGATTTAGAAAAAAAAAATAAAACAAAACCCATACATACAAGTTAGCCGTTGCAGAGAGAGAGGGGGGCAAGCTTGAGAGTTGAGAGACAGCGGCTGAACCTTGCGAACGGCGAACCCGAACTGGAACAGCGGGCGATGGAAACTGAAAGATATGGGTTTTGATTTTTTTGAACAATCTGAAATGATATGCCGATATGTGGGTTTTGAACTGGGTTTTGATATAGGTAATAGGTTTTGAACTTTTGATTTTTGCAGACAGATAGATAAACTGAAATATATGGGTTTTGAACTTCTGATTCTTGTAGATTTTGTGGTTTGCAGTTGCACAGAGAGGGGGGGTTGGGTAAGTTCAGAGATGAGAACGAGACAGACGGAGGCGATTGGGGAGGCTGAAATGATTTGCCCTAATTTTTTTTTCTGGTGGCCCATCCATGGGCCTATAAATACGTACAAGTCGAGCAAAGGTATGGTATACAAGCATACAGATATCCTTCAATGCAATTAATTATATTGAACCAATTTTCCTGAAAACATTGTCGTCACCGTATTTTTAATTCTCAGAGGCACTTTTGCTCAAGAGAGAGAACCAAAATTTTGCTCAAGAGAGAGAACCAAAATTCAAAATTTTGGTTCTTTCTTTTTTATATACATAATTTTATACGAGTAACTAACTAAAATTTTGGTTTTTATTTTTTGTTATTGTATTGTCCAACTTATTCTAGTCTTCATGAATTTTTTTTTCTTTTATATATGTATAGATTTTTTAATGATTTCCATGATCCATCTTAATTAAACTAGAAATTTATTGTAGGCATCAAACAATCCGCACGGGAACAAAACCGAGCATAGTGGCAAAATGATAATTTTGCACATATATTGGAAAATCGGGATGTCAAATCAGGAATTTGACTCCATTCTCCTCAAAATTCTCAAAAAAAATTCTTAGGACTTGCTTGGATTATATTTCACAGAACAGCTTTTAGATAACAGTTTTAAATTTTTTCAGATTTTAAACTTGCTTGGTTAATAGAATTTACAAAATAATTTTCAAAAAATAAAAACTCATAAAACTACTTAGTTGTATGAATTTTTTTAAATAGTTTTCTGAATTAAGAAAATAAATAAATATATTATTGTACACTCTTTTATATATTTAATTTATGATATTAACAATTAATGTGTGTGTATATATATATATATATATAATTGTTGGTGGTAAATTCATTTTAATTAGTATTTTTAATTTAATAAAAGTAACTTCATCTAGCATTGCCTCTAAATAATGCTCACATTTGATTCATCAGATGAGTTTTAAGGGTTCCCATTTGTGTTGCACCATCATCAAATAAATTAAGTGTATTCAATATTTGTAATACCCCTGATTTTAAAAAGGATATTCCGGGAATTTAATTTATTATTATTTGATTATCTGCTTAATTGTTTTATTTCATTGTTCGCTTATTTGTTTTATTTAATTATTTGTTAATTGTTTTATTTTGTTTACTTAATTGAACTTCTTGTTTAAGTGGTTAATTGGACTTCTTGTTTAAGTGGTTAATTGTATTCTCTTGCATTAATTGTTTAATGGTTTTATTATGGTGATTTATTTGAATTAATTGGTTTATTTAAATTACTAATGGTATTAATTGTTTTTTTTTTTTTTTTTTCTGTTTTAAACTCGGTAGTTAATTACTATAATTCTGATGGTGGATTAAAATTCACGTAAAAATAGCCATCGTATGTTACAACTTGGAAGTTTCATGGGCCGGTTAGGATTGGAATTAGAACTTAGCCTCTAATTGTACATGGATTAGGGTTAGTGTTAATATACACCTATAAATATAAAGCAATGCACGGTTTAGGGTTTTAGAAAAATAAACGTAAATTCTATAAAAGTAGAGACCGTGAGATATAGAGGGAAAACAGAGAGAGATAGGAGAGGAAGGCTAGGTGGGATTAAGGAGGAAGGAACGTGGTTTGTGGAACAGCCGTAGGGTGTTGAACGGACAATACAGAAACTGGGAATTAGAGTTTCAAGTCTGAAACTCAAAAGCAAGTTCTTTTACTTTTTCCTTCCCTTTGGCTTGTGTTCTGTGCACTTAAGTAGTCTCTAGGGTTAAATAAATCATAAACTAGAACTCACATGTTTATTGTATGATTTATTGATGCTTTGTTTGTGTTGTAATCAAATTTGTTACAAATTCATGCATGATTGTTTCAAGTTTTGTTTCTTAAAGCATGTTAATCCGGTTGTAATTTTAGTTATTATACTTGCTTGCAACTACTGTAAATAAGTCATGGGGATGTTTCTAGGCTTACACAAGGTTCCTAGATTAGTTTTAAAAACCAAACAGAAAGGTTACAACTGGCCGGAGTGGGAGCAGAGGGCAAAAACGAAACTGGAATGGAGAGAAGGCTCGCAGGGGGGAAGAGAGCCGGCTCCCACCTAATTAGAGCCAGCTCCAAGGTTGTATGGAGGCGGCTCTAGGATGATTTGGAGCCTGCTCTAATTTTTCCAAGAGCAGGCTCTTCCCAATTTGATGCATACTGTAATCTTTCAGCTACTGTTTGGTCACTTGGGGTTTCTGAACAATTTTAAAACTTTAATGGGGTTTTCAATAATTAATTCAATATGTAATCAAGGTCTTAAATTTCATAAAATACCTCATTTGTTTTAATAGAATTAACAGTGCGGTAATTAACGACTTTACATGCAGTTAACGGCTGGAAGGAAATTTATTGTCTAATTTTAATTTGACATTGAAGGTGCTATAACATGATTCTAAATTAAGTTTTAAATGCACGGTGAAGTCTTTTAATTAATGAATTGGACTTGTGGCATAGTGCATGCCTCTGTGCTAAAAGATAAAACAGAATACAAGTATACAACTTAATACGCTGTTACCGGATGTAAAGAACTAAATTGCTTAAATTAATTTAGCAATTTATTGGACTATAGTATGATTATAGAATTTATTTTGAATGCATGATAGAGTCATTGATATAATAGATTTGATCCATGCATGCTTTGGATGCTAGATGTGGAACTATTAAACCGTTTCCTGCAATTACAAAGTTTAACTCTTATATTTAAATTGCTGAAACTTTAAACACTTTTTTGCAATGATTTGGATATTGGTTTTGGACTGTAAATTACTAGCTTATTATTTATGTGTCGTAATTTACGTGGATATGGAGGATTGTATGCACTGGTATGGGACGGTGATATACTAGGGATGGTTTAGTTCAAAACGCTTAAACCTAACCTATCGGATTAAAGGAATGGATTGGAAAATATTGAATCCTAACTATGGCTAAGATCAACTGTGATTAAGTTGAATGGCTTCCTGGATTAATTGGTTGTAGTTAAGTCATGTCAACTGAATAAGTTGAGTGACTAACTAGGTTGTATATTGAATGTCAGCTCAATAAATAAGTGAATGACATACCCTGGTTTTGGACGGATTTTAGATATATGATTATGATACTATGATATGAGCTTGAGTCTCAGAGTCGTTGGTTAGGATGTGTATATGCAGTGGATGCGTAGTTGGATATAGTAGGTAGGTGTCTCCTGTTAAGTCTAGGTACTCATGCCCACCATTGGGTGCGTTTTCGCATGTTGCCTTCTATTCAGGTTGAGACCCTTAGGGTAGTCCAGTGAATATCCCTTAGTATGGATATATATATATGTATGGACTATATAGATATTGTGAGGTATCTACGGTGTATCTGCGTGTCGGGTCACTATATGGATTGCAGATAGATTAGAACTTGCTCGTGGGCCTGACCCACTCTTTTATTTTTCTTTTCAGGTACAGAACGGTTCCAGCCTTAGAGCTTTATCATGCTGTTCGAGGACAGTTTCCATTCGTTAGATTACGTAGGACTTCTCACGATGTTTCAGTTTTATTTACTTTCAATTTTCAGTTCAGTTGGGATTTTATTTAGGGGTTCACCAAATGGATTCCTGAGTTGTAATCATGGAGGTTTTGGATGTTAGATTTTATAAAGTTTTATCAGTTGAGGATTTTATATTAGTATTCATTTTAGCTTTTAATATTTACTCTTATTTCATTTTGTCATCTGTGTTCGTTTTAAAATACTTTAATTGTTTAATATTTCCCTCGAGTTTGGGCCTGGGCTTGATCAACCCGTGTCTCGGATCTGAGGGGTATTACAATATTGTAGACACTAAAATTTAGTGGGCTTTGATTGTAACGAATGGACCCATTAAATATGGGCCTAATGTTTAATTAAGTCATTTAATTGGCCCAGGCTTGGTCCAGCTCAGATGGTTAAATAAAAAGATAATTATTCCTAATAAAATATATTTGAAATAATTATTTTTAAGGATAATTATCATAATATAACCGGCTCGGCCCAGTTTTGATTTTATCTTTATCAGAATATGACACGTGTCATCATCCTATTAATCCAAGACGCCTATAAATAGAGGCCTGAAGAAAGAAGTCAGGGACACAAATTCGGAATTTAAAAGTCCAGAAATCTAGAGCCTCAGAAATCCAGAGACTCAGAAGTCAGAGACATCAGAGTTCAGAAATCCAGAGACTCAAAAATTCAGAGTTCAGAAATTCAAACATAGAAATTCAGACTCTGCCCAAAAGCGAATAACACCAAGCACATCAACTCGTTCTGTTTTACATCTAAAATCCATGGTGATTCAAGATACCAATCAAAAAGGAGATCGAATTAGATGACCTTTCTTTTTGTAAAAGATATTACAAAGGACTGTACTCAATTATTTTTAATTAATAAAATATTATATTATTTGCTCCATATTTTGTTTCTATTTACAGACTTACAAAATTTGTGTGTACAAATTTCTGGCACGCCCGGTGGGACTATCCTTTGCCTCTCATCTATTTCTCCTACCATCAAGTTTCTTCTCTATCATATTCTATGGCTCCCCCTAAGACTCAGACAGACAATAAAGTCCAAAAGAACATCGCTACTGCAAAGGTCGACGCCAAATCCACCATGAAAAATGGCACGAAGGCCAAACCTAGTGATGGAAGTACCTTGGCGGGCCCTGTGACACGTAGCAAGTCCCAGGCAATCGAGTCATCCAAACATCAACAAGACTTGGTAAAACACAATCCTGCGAAGCCGACGAACGTGAAAACTCAACATGTCAAGAATCCTGACGTTGTTCCAGAGGAGATTCCGCCACCAGATTTACCTCATTCCGTCTATGATGCTCACTCTAGTGTCGGTTCACCCCCAAAGTCACCACGTTAGACTTCAGAGCAATTAATCACTTCAAGGAACGTTGACTCTCAAGGCCTATCATACTCCGATGTGGTCGCTGCTATGATGACTAGAGCTGCCACGGTGGAGGAACAACTAGCAACTATGTCTCGTGCCATTGAGAACCTCACAAAGACTGTTGAAGAGAAGGACTTACAAATCGCTACGCTGATG